TATGTTATCAAATTTTGATCTACTGATATTTTTCTGGTAAGACTTTGGCAAGGAAATGTGTATTAAATAGAAAAATGTAAAAGCCTGCCACCTCTGGCTGTGCTAACAACAAATGTATAGCTGCCAATGACCAGTTTATGATTAGGCTGATTTAAGATCTATGCGCCAGCTACTCTAGGCCATTAAAATTTTCATCATTGCAGTATTTATTCCTACAGGGACGGTTATGCCATCATGCCATGAATCTATGTGAAATAAATTAATTTTGTTTTCTGCTTGTGTGACTTTGCATTGTATTAGCAACTTTTGTAAAATCCAGTCACTTTATATCATATTTCATGAAACACAGAGAGTGTATAATGTCATCATATGAGCTGCTTCTCATTAGTGTGCTAGCAACCTCCACATTAAATAAGGGGGTTGGGGAGAAATCATACAATGCCATTAGAAAAATTCTGTGATTTGCCATATGTCAGTGAGAGGTCTTGGTTGGAATACAATGCAATAACAAACAAAGAGTTTAATTATTTCTGTATTTAATTGTGTTCTTATAGATTCATAGATTCCAAGGCCAGAAAGAACCATTCTGATCATTTAGTCTGACTTCTTGTATAATACAGGCCATAGAACTGCCCCAAAATAATTCCTAGAGCATAGCTTTCAGAAAAAACATCCAATCAATTTAAAAAATTGTCAGTGATGAAGAATCCACCACGACCCTTGATAAGTTGTTGCAATAGTTAATTACCCTCACTGTTAAAAATGTATGCCTCCTTTCCAGTCTAAATTTGTCTTCTTTCAACTTCCAGCCATTGGATCATGTTTTATCTCTGCTAGGTTGAAGAGCCCATTATTAAATATTTGTTCCCTCTGTAGGTACTTACAGGGCCAGCTCTAGGTTTTTTGCCGCCCCAAGCAAAAAAAATTTTGGCTGCCCCTCATCCCAGCCCTGGGCTCCTCGCCGCACCCCCCTGCCGCCCCAGCCCTGGGCTCTCCCCCACCTCCCGCACCCCCCTGCCGCCCCAGCCCTGGGCTCTCCCCCCCCGACCCGCACCCCTCTGCCGCCCCAGCCCTGGGCTCTCCCCCACACACAAACACACCCTGCCGCCCCAGCTCTGGGTTCCCCCTACCCCTCCACCATTGCCCCCCCACACACACCTCCTGCCACCCCAGCCCTGGGCTCACCCACCCCCCCACCTGCACCCTCCTTCCGCCACAGCCTTGGGTCACTGGTAACTCGCTCCCAGTGCAGGTCATTCAGCAGGAATTTTAGATGTGCACAGAACACAGACAGGACTGGTTCCCGTATGGTTACAGAACTGCAGTAAAGTGGAACAATTTTCGGCTTGTGTGATTGGAGGATATCTGGATGCATATTATAAGACTGTCCT